AGAGAGCCGCCACAAACCCTAGAGGAAGAACCTTATACGTCCCAGATTCAGAAGAGAGCTTAGAGAAGCTTGATTTTGAGTTCTAGTGATTGGAATATCGATTCCAAGTCAAGGACATCGGTTTTTTTCTTCACGAATCCTAGCAGATACGTTCCAAAGCGTTGGAATTCATCCCGCCGGTGTGGATACGTGTAGAGGAGTTGTGCTTTCAACTCTTGGTGATTAAAACAGGCCCTGGATCGATTGATACTTCCAGATCTTGAAAGAACGAGGTAAGTATTCGAATCCCACGACGATATACACGATTGTTCGGGTTATTGCACAATTGGTTTTTGTGTGACGTTTGGCTAGGTTTAGATCTTTCCTTCCGCTGCATGAAACCTAGAAACCAAACCCTAGATCGATGAGATCGCATGCTAGGAACCCGAAGGGAACCCCAACAGCTAGTCCATGTGACAATCTCATGCGGGTCAATCCAGTATTCCGTTCTCCAACGAATACCTATGATTGTGATCGTATCCAATACCTATGATCATTTATATGATCATCAATCACACATCATACTAGTCTTTGTATATCATTATTCCCACAATGATACATGACTAGGGATTTTAGTATTCTTCATAACAATACATGGATTTCATAACACATTTAAGTATGCAAAACATGTAATGAATGAAACACTAATCCATAAATCATAGAAAGCGTCAATACATCATATGCATCCAAGTAAAGCTCGCAAACAGTACATCATAGAGCAATAATCCATAAATCATAGAAAGCGTCAATACATCATATGCGGACCAATGAGTTGTCTCATCAAATAGACATATCCGTATCGACTGAAATCATCAGTGAACGTAACGAAATACAGATAACCTCCTCTAGCTGGACAGCTCATTGGTCCGCATACATCACTATGTATCAGATCCAATAACTCTGTCGCTCTTTTTTCTTTCCCCTTGAAAGTCGTCCGCACCGACCGGTCCACGTGTCTGGACCGATCGGTCTGGGTTGGCTGGACTGATCGGTCCAGACCTTCTGGACCGGTCGGTCTGGCCTCCGCTCCACCGGGATTTTCTCGTCTCTTCTCGCGCATTTGTCCTTTCCTGTGTGTGTGATCCTGTAGGCTCATCCGATATAGCAGTATAACCCGAAATCTCTTATTTCGGTTACACAAGTCATAGGCGGTCTCTACCAAGACACTATGACTACCTATCTCGAATAGAGTTTGTTCGTGATCCTACGAACGCCAGTGATGATTCCGTTTGATGATCCTTTTGTATCACGATATCATATGTCGAATATAAGGGATGGACAAGCCACCTTATCTGATTCGACTGCTTTCTCGTTCACTGAGTTCGACTGTCTGAAATGGACGACGTTCGTCTATAGTGCGGTCACACATTTCTACAGTCTCGCTAGTACATCATAGAGCACTAAACCAACACGATCGTCACACATTTCTACAGTCTCGCTCACACAGGGGCCCAACGATATCACTCTCTTTTACGAGAGGTACAAATCTCGTCTTGACTATCTACAATCCAGCACATGATTCGTTTCGTACCTGATACACACCTTTATAGTCCTCCTGTTACGCAGGACGTTTGACGTAATCAAAGTACGCAACTCCTCATGTTGGATTCCGTAGATATCTCAGGTCTTAGGATCCAATCATGGAACCGCCATATGAGATTCAAGTCATGACGCTAGTCCATGTGACAATCTCATGCGGGTCAATGTAGTATTCCGTTCTCCAACGAATACCTATGATTGTGATCGTATCCAATACCTATGATCATCTATATGATCATCAATCACACATCATACTAGTCTTGGTATATCAGTATTCCCACAATGATACATGACTAGGGAGTTTAGTATTGTTCATAACAATACATGGATTTCATAACACATTTAAGTATGCAAAATATGTAATGAATGAAACACTAATCCATAAATCATAGAAAAGCATCAATACATCAGATGCATCCAAGTAAAGTTCGCAAACAGTACATCATAGAGCACTAAACCAACATTTTCACACTCCGATTTCCACGAGGGGCCCAGCGACATCTCTTCTGCTTAGGAGGTGAAAAGTCTCGTATTGCATGTTTATTATCTACATATGATTCGTAAACGTATCTGAGCAACGCCGTTATGATCATCCGGTTAAAGACGACGTTTGACGCAGTCAAGACACGCCACTCCTCATATTAGATACTCTAGACATCTCAGGTCTGAGGATCCAAGAACGAACCGCTATATGAGATTCAAGTCATGACTCATGTCCATATGACAATCTCATGCGGGTCATCCAGTCACTCGTTCAAAACGAGTACCCATGATTGTGATTTGCATCCAATGCATATGATCATCATCATCAATCACACACCATGATGGTCTTAATTCATCATTGTTCCCATAATGACAACTGACCAGGGAGTTTAGAATCATCTGCAATGATTCATGGATATCTACCGAAACATAACAAACATGTCAATCATATAACGGGAAAAGTAATGCATTCATAAACCAATGAATCAATACATAGTCAAAATGTCATATCACGTATCATCGTAGAACATTACAACCAACAATATATTAGTGTGACTAGTGTGACCAGATAATATAACAGTGTGAATAGTGTGACCAATGAGAATTTTTAATTGTGTGACCAGTGTGATTAGTGTGACCAATGTGAATTTTTAACTGTGTGACCAGTGTGACCAACTAATACAACAGTGTGACTAGTGTGACCAAATAATATAACGGTGTGACTAGTGAAAAAGAAATGCACTTACTTCATCTTTGAGCCACACCCTCTCCTATAAAAGGTCTTTCCAGAACCTTGGTTTTCTCATATAATCGAGTTCTGATTTCCACAGACTAATCGGACGATCCATCCTCATAAAATTATACACAAGTGTCGCCTTGTTAGCGGATGTTTGGACGAAACTCTCTACCCAAAGCACGTTATATGAAACTACGGTGGGTTCCCATATAAATACAGGATATCACTTCATGGCATTTGGTTCTACTTGTTTCTTTTGATTCACCTCTCCCATAGTGAGTTCTCTAGCCTTTTAATTTCCACCTCTTTTTTCTTTTTTGACTTGTTTTGTTTTTTGTTTTTTCTTAGTTGTTCTTCTTCTTCATCATCGTCTTCTATCAAAATTATCTCCACTTCTTTGTTTTTCCTGCATTTCCGTCTGATTTACGATCGGCGGATGAAGTCTTCCTTTGATTTTTGTTCGATGGAAAACTCATTTTGGTTTGATTTATGATAATAAGGACGTTGATAATTGAAAATACAGAGAATTGTTGAGAAAAACGAAATAAAGATGAAGAGAAGATAGAGAAACTTTTGAATTTTGTTTTTAAAATAATTAAATTCATGGAAAAATGGAGAACATGGAAAAGCAACCGTCTTTACTTCTTCTTGTGCCACGTGTTGTTTTTAATAAGGTCATTTATATATTTTACTCGTTTTAGTTTTTTTTAAAACACTAGGATTTCGGAGGATACGCCATGAAATCTTTGTAACAAAGAAAGGATACTTTTGCTATTTTGCCTCTTCATTATTAGAAATTTTAGATCCAATGATTTGATTTTTAATAGCATATATGTTATTTCTCAAATCAGAATTTTTACTTTTACACTTGATTGATTAAATATGACTAATGGGTTACAATAAAAAGGATACAATTAATGAAATAATTTGAATTACATTCATTTTATATATATTTAAATAATGAAAAAAAATTCAAAAAAAAAGTCAAAATGGGGTGGCGAATTAAGAACAGTCGAATTAGGGCAATCAAATAAAAAGAATACAAAGACAAATAGACACCGTCAGGATTTATACCATTGCATTTTCTTAGCCGTTTTTTGCATCTTGGAAAAGTCAAACCTCTCTCCTGTACCAATAGGAAAAAAGTCAAACATTTATGTCCCCCGTTGATTTTATTTTTATTTAAAGTACAACTTTCATATGAGTATATTTTTTGTATTTTCCGTGTTTTGACTTTATCATTATGTTATGAACACCGCTTCTGTCTTCTCCGTGTCCATATATATAATATATATAAATTAAAGTCCCAAATCCTCGCTTCTTCAAACCAATTCACAACCATCAGACCAAACTGCTTCACTTCAACAAGAAAAAAAAAGTTATTTTTTTTTTTATCGTTTTCTCTTCTATTTCTGGGCTTTCGTCAAAATCGTCTCTTTTACATTGTATCTTCCATTATAGCATCGGATTTGCAAATGGATCAAGAAATAGAGGTTCCTCCTTTCTTCCTTTGTCCGATCTCTCTAGAGATCATGAAAGATCCGGTGATTGTCTCCACCGGAATAACTTACGATCGAGAGAGCATCGAAAAATGGTTGTTTTCGGGCAAGAACAAGACTTGTCCGGTGACAAAACAAGCCGTGACTGACACCGATCCCACACCGAACCATACTCTCCGCCGCCTGATCCAATCTTGGTGCACTCTCAACGCTTCTTATGGTATCGAGAGGATCCCCACTCCGAAGCCACCGATCTGCAAATCGGAGATCGAAAAACTCATCAGAGACTCAGCTTCGTCGTATCAAAACCAGGTAAAGACCCTCAAACGACTTCGTCAGATACTGTTGGAAAATGCCACTAACAGGCGTTGCTTGGAAGCGGCGGGAGTTCCCGAGTTCTTAGCAAAGATCCTAAGAGATTCCATCGACAGTTACAACTCTTCCTCATCGCCTTCTGCATCGAATCTTAATGATTTGTGTTACTCCAACATGGAAAACGGGTTTGATTCTTCGAAGAGTTTGACTGATGAAGCTCTCAGCTTACTCTACAATCTCGAGACGTCGGAATCTGTCCTCAAGAATCTTGTAAACAACGAGAATGGTATTGACATCGTGCAATTGCTGACAAAGATTATGCAGTGTGGGATCTACGAGTCGAGAGCCTATGCGAGTTTGCTTCTCAAGAACATTCTTGAAGTTGCAGATCCAATGCAGATCATTGTCCTAAAAACCGAGATCTTCACCGAGGTTTTCCAGATCTTACACGACCAGATCTCGCACAAGGCGACAAAATCGGCGTTGCAGATCTTGGTTAACATATGCCCATGGGGAAGGAACAGGCACAAAGCCGTAGAAGCCGGAGCAATCTCAGTAATCATCGAGCTTCTAATGGACGAAACATTCTCGTCGGTGAGGAGGATTATAGAAATGGTAATGGTGGTTCTTGATTTGCTTTGTCAATGCGCAGAAGGACGAGCAGAGTTCTTGAATCATGGTGCGGCCATAGCCGTAGTATCGAAGAAGATACTTAGGGTTTCACAGACAGCCAGCGAGAGGGCGGTTAGGGTTTTGTTGTCGGTCGGGAGGTTTTGTGCGACAGCATCCTTGCTGCAAGAGATGTTGCAGCTTGGGGTCGTGGCAAAGCTGTGCCTTGTGCTTCAAGTAAGCTGTGGGAACAAGACGAAGGAAAAGGCAAAGGAGTTGCTTAGATTGCACGCTAGGGTTTGGAGGGACTCGCCTTGTCTTCCAAGAAATCTGGCTTCTTCATATCCGGCCTAAGAGAAGGAAAAAAAAACGAAAACATTTGATTCTCATATGAAATAGGGCAATTAATCGGTCTTTTTTAGTTTATTCCGGTCGCCTTTCGTTTCTTTTTTTTGTTTAAACGATGATGTAGATAACATTGGAAATTGTTCATGAAATTATTGGAACCCCTAGAGAGAGAAATCAATGAATTCACGAGATGTTGTTATGGCGAATATGTTGTTGTTAATGTGTATCCTTTCTTTTGTTTGCCCACTTGTTCATTTATTACGTCGAAGGCTTTCATTTTATGTGTTTTTTTTAAATTTAATTGTGAAATTAATAATGAGTCTTGTGCGTGTCGTTATCAACTTTTCCCCTTTCGTGAATAAATGCTTTATCTGGTTTATACATTTATTTATTTCTCCAATTTAAACTAAATCCTACAGATGGATCTGCATGTGGTCTTCTGTCGGGATTTGAAAGGATGAGATTTGAAGTATTATCCAATCCGACGACGCATAAATTGTTGGCTAAGTGCTCTATGTTGTACTATTTGCGAGCTTTCTTTGGATACATTTGATGTATTGATACTTTTTATAGTTTTATGAAAGTGTTTGATTAATTACATGTTGTGCATACTAGATATGTTGTGAAATCCATGTATTGTTATGAACAATACTAAACTCCCTAGTCATGTATCATTGTGGGAATAGTATGATGTGTAATTGATGATCATATGGATGATCATAGGTATTGGATACGATCACAGTCATAGGTATTCGTTGGAGAACATAATACTGGATTGACCCGCATGAGATTGTCACATGGACTAGCGTCATGACTTAAATCTCATATGGCGGATCCATGACTGGATCCTTAGACCTGAGATATCTACGGAATCCAACATGAGGAGTTGCGTGCTTTGAATACGTCAAACGTCATGCGTAACAGGAGGACTATAAAGGCGTGTATCAGGTACGAAACGAATCATGTGCTGGATTGTAGATAGTCAAGACGGGATTTGTACCTCTCTTAAAAGAGAGAGATATCGCTGGGCCCCTCGTGTGAGCGAGAATGTAGAAATGTGTGGCCGCACTATAGACGAACGTCGTCTATTTCAGATAGTCGAACTCAGTGAACGGGATAGCAATCGAATCAGATAAGGTGGCTTGTCTATGCCTTATGTTCGACATATGAAATCGCGATACAAAAGGATCATCAGCCGGAATCATCACTGGCGTTCGTCACGAACAAACTCTATTCGAGATAGGTAGTCATAGTGTCTTGCTAGAGACTGCCTATGACTTGTATATCCGAAATGGAGATTTCGGGTTATACTGCTATATCGAATGAGCCTACAGGGTCACACACGCAAGGAAGGACAAATATACGAGAGAAAACGACGAAAAACCGAGACAGAAGGGTCTGGAACAGACGGACCAGAAAGTCCGGAATAGACGGTCCGCCAGGTCCAGACCCGATGGTCCAGTACGGAATGTCCGTTCCAGAAGGTCTGGAATGAACGGTCCACTTAACGCAGACCGTCCGTTCTGCATGGCTAGAATGGACGGTCCACGTGTATTTCTGGACCGTTTGTTCCGGCTTTCGGGTTTTTCGAAAATTAGACCGAATTAGGGTTAAAGCACCTTATAAGAAGGAGATTAAAATACTAATTAATTAAGAGACTTTGAGAGCCGTCTAGTACAGAATTCTAAGAGCTCTTGGTGAGATCCAAAAAGAGTTCTAAGAGTTTCAAGTCTCGTTTTATCGAAGCGCGAAACCGAATAGCTGATTCGGGTCCTAGTAGACAAGTTCCAACCGTTGGAATCCATCCCGAGGTGTGGATACGTGATATAAGCACGGGTCTGTTGGTGTTATTACGTCCTTGTATTGACTGCTATGGAAGGCCTAAGGGCTGCTCTCCACTGTATTAAGTCAAAACGAAGCTTAAGGAAGAAAACAGAAGCAAACAGGCCAAAGGGCTCTCGTTTAGCTTCCAGGGAACGTGAATGGGTAAGGGGAGGCGAGGGACACCACAAAGAGTGTGAAAGCTCTTTGATACAGTCCAAAACTCGAACCCTAATGCAAGAATGCAAGAGAGAAGGAGTTAGAACAGATTTCTCAGCAAAGGAGAAAGAAAAACTTCCAGATTCTTATTATTCAAGTCTGTCTTCTGCAGAATACATGAGCAAGCTTTTATAATGATCAAGCTTGTTTATTCTTAAGGAAAACTCGAAAATTAGGTAAAGAAATAGGAGAAAATCTGTCCTAGCCGTTGGACACATCAGAAGCAAAGGAAAAAGGAAAGAAAGTAAAGGAAATAAGGAAAAGGAAAGAAACAAGTCTCCTCCTAGCTGTTGAAACGAATAAGGAAAGTGCCATTTGTGTTGATCCTCTTCCTTTCTTCTCCTAGGTGGTCTTGAAAAGGAAATTTCGTGCTCCACATGAAGAGAATCATCTGATCTTGGTTTAGTTTGGTTTAATCTCCGGTTTTCGCTGATTTTGGCTGGATAATGCAAATGCTCTTGGTTTCTCCAATTAGCGCCGGTTCTTGATCTCCTTTGCAAGAATAAGTGTTGTATTCTCCAATCCACTCCTCTAGCAGCCCTCCTATGATGTTGGAGACGAATTGATTTGTCTTTGTGCGAAAACTCCTTGCCCTTGATCTTGTAAGCGGTGGTTCCGAAACAAAGACTCCATCTTTGTTGTTGTTGACAGGTTCTCAAAGATGGCTCACTTCATACCATGCTCAAAGGCCAATGATGCTTCATACATTGCTGATTTATTCTTCAAGGAAGTTGTGCGTCTACATGGCCTGCCTAGAACCATCGTATCGGATCGAGATACTAAGTTCGTGAGCTACTTCTGGAAAACACTTTGGAGAAAGCTAGGGACCAGCCTCTTATTCTCCACTACATGTCATCCGCAAACTGATGGGCAGACCGAAGTAGTAAACCGGACCTTAGCGACTCTTCTAAGAGCTACAATTGGGAAGAATCTGAAGAATTGGTTGGATTGCTTGCCACATGTTGAATTCGCCTACAACCGAGCTGCACATTCGGCTACAAAGCACTCACCATTCGAAGTGGTCTATGGATTCAACCCAATCACGCCACTTGACCTCACACCTCTTCCTCATCGTGAGATGGTGAGCGTAGATGGGGAAAAGAAGGCAGAAGATCACGTGTCATAAAGCCAAGTCTCGTTCACATCCTCACGGTTTGTATCTTCCTCTACCTATTCCTACACATCCTTGGACTGATTTGTCTATGGACTTTGTTCTCGGACTTCCAAAGATCCGAAACAAAGACTCCATCTTTGTTGTTGTTGACAGGTTCTCAAAGATGGCTCACTTCATACCATGCTCAAAGGCCAATGATGCTTCATACATTGCTGATTTATTCTTCAAGGAAGTTGTGCGTCTACATGGCCTGCCTAGAACCATCGTATCGGATCGAGATACTAAGTTCGTGAGCTACTTCTGGAAAACACTTTATATCCCCAAGCTCCGCATCTCCTTGGTACAGCTCCTTGATGAATTCGAATCCCATTATTTTAGCCTCCATAGTAGTGATCAATGTGTGTCTCCGAGAAAGAGCATCGGCCACAATGTTGTCTTTGCCCTTCTTGTACTTGATGATGTATGGGAAGGTCTCTATAAACTCCAACCATTTGGCATGCCTCCTCTTGAGTGTAGTCTGACCCTTAAGATGCTTGAGCATTTCATGATCCGTGTGAATGATGAATTCCTTAGCCAACAAGTAATGTTGCCAAGTTTCTAGGGATCGAACCAAGGCATACAGCTCCTTGTCATATGTCGGATAGTTGAGTGTAGCGCCACTCAACTTCTCGCTAAAATACGCCACGGGCCGCTTCTCCTGCATAAGAACAGCTCCTATGCCAATCCCCGATGCATCACATTCGACCTCGAACATCTTGTCAAAGTCCGGCAAAGCCAAAACAGGTGCATTCGTGAGT